ACAAAACCCACTGGCTAAAAACCCACGTGCCCATTGACCAGTATACGGAAAGCATTTCCTGACATAAAAATATTTGACCAGCTGTAGACGTTGTTTGGCTGAAACGAATGAACGAACTTACAATTTAGGCTTGCTATTAAAATTCATTTGTTAGAAAAAAATCCAGATTCTACTGGCGCAGACTTTTTATACTATTGTTTATTTTGATAGATGACTCATCCACAGTGCGCTCGGGTGTATTTTTTCTATTTTCTCATTAGTGTAGTAAGCTTTAACCCAGTTGCGGTTTTTATACAAAAAGGTTGATCTCATAGTGCAATTATTTTTAGTTTAAGAATCTGTGGTTTTATTTCATGATGTCATGTTTGTTGTGAGGACCGAGTAGGTTAAGTATTGGCCTCACGTGGCTCCTAAATATCATTTCAGCCATAGGACGTCCACTGCTGAACATAGGCCTCCCCCAATGATTTCCATATTGCCCGATTGGTAGCGGCCTGCATCCAGCGCCTTCCATTCAGCTACCTTTAATGATGTCTTCGTTCCACTTTGTGGGTGGACGTCCTACGCTGCGCTTTCCGAACTACTTTCGTTAATATTATTGGCAACAAGCAACGAATAAATAAAGTCTTAATACAGGCTTAAGCCGTGTGGTGACGGCAGAGTAGAATACATTTGTCACCAACCCCTACTCTTCCCGCGGGTGTCGTAAGAGGCGACTTAGGGAATACACATCAAACAGAGAATGGGCAGCAGCGCTCTCTGAAAAACATCAATCTTTTAAACTGCGATCTCCAACCCGCCTGCCAAGCGTGGAGATTATGGCAAAACCCTCCACTATAGTGGAGGAGGCTCATAGTCCAGCAGTGGACTGTAAAGGGTTGTTGATGATGACAGGCTTAAATTCCCAGTGGAGGCAAAATTTTGTGCTCAGTTCGGCGGGTCTGGCTAGCTTCCACCATCTTACCTAATATAAGTCTGTCGCCATAACAACAATGTTAACCGAATTGTTGTGTTCGGCAGTTGGAGGTAAGATAGCCAATTCCTCTGTGGTTGAGGATTCCGGGTGAAGCTCGCTTCCACCTTCGGCCTGCTCATCACTCTTCATCAGATGAGATGAAGGCCAAGAGCTTCTTCAACGTGGTAAAAAAACTACATCAATACAAACACACAGATGTTTGTATGGTCCGAGAATCGAACCCGCGTACCTCTGGCATAGTCATCCAGTGGCGTGACGCAAGTAAGCGGTTTCATACGAAAGTCCCCCGCGCGGGTGCCCGCGACGGAGCACTTTGTATGAAACCGCGCCGGGGCCCGCTTAACGCAGTTTCTGCCCTAATCCAGTAAGGCTGACAATAGTGACTGAGTTTCTTGCGCTGCTTCTCAGCACTGGCCCATTTATTGTCCCGAAGCAGTGGTAGGATTAATACTGGGACGTGTAAAAGTGCTTTTTAAAAGCCTACTTGCAAAAATAAAATTAGTTTTGAGTACGTGGACCACCAGACTAGTCGTCTCTTTAAACCAATCACTTAGTCTTAACATATCCTCTTAAACATTTAAAACCAACCATAAAACTCTTTTCACCCATAAAAAGAAAGCTAAGCGTTGCATTTATTATAGTGCGCGAGTGTGATGTCATAGTATGACCTAGTGCTCCATTTGCGAGATGTAGTGCTGGTTTTATTGCCGTACTTTAGTAGCTTATACTCGCGGCATTGTCAGTTTGTATTTCATAATTTCATTGAGTCACAGAAAGGCATTATTCTAAGCGTATATACCGTTCAATAACATTCTTTCTTATCACAATTCTATTCATACACCCTTTTCAAGTAGACCACTATTTTCACAACAAAAAGTAGTCAATGTTCTTCAATATTCAATCAGAAATGTATAAGGCAGACATTGCTACCTTGTAGTATATGGGCGGTCAGAGATTTTGCGGGTGTGTAATGTATGATATAACTACATATCATATAATACTTAGAGGATATAACATCAAATTATATAAAATCGTTTAATATAATAATTATTTACTATAATAAACGAATAATATAATTTTAAAACGAATAATTTTAAGACAAATAACTATTAACTGATATAAAATGGTTTGATATAATGAATATTTTCTATAAAACTTACAATGTATACTATTTAAAACAAATAACATTCAAATCATCTATATATATAAAAGAAAGTCGTGTTAGTTACTCCACTTATAACTCAAGAACGGCTGAACCGATTTAGCTGAAAATTGTCAGGGAGGTAGTTTAGAGCCAGGAGAAGGACATAGGATACTTTTTATCCCGTTCGAAATTAAAAAAAAGTCTGCTTATTTATTGCCATTAAGGCGGAACAAAGTTCGCCGGGTCAGCTAGTATAAAAATAAAATGTCGAACAATCAAATGAGATATAAAATTCTTTTCCTATAAAACTTAAATCATATAACAATATTAATTTTATATAAAGTTCATTTGTTATAATAAGCATTGCATGCAGCAAGCAAGCAAGCGAGCAAGCAAGCAAGCTAGCAAGCAAGCTAGCATGCAGGTAAGCAAGCAGGCAAGCAAGCTAGCAAGCAGGCAAGCAAGCAGGCAAGCAAGCAAGCAAGCAGGCAAGCAAGCAAGCAAGCAAGCAGGCATGCAGGTATGCAAGCATGCAAGCATGCAGCATGCAAATCTGACTAAAAACTTGAGACTTCTGTCACGGCTCCGGCACTGCGGGGCTCTGGCGGTCCCTCGCGTGCTAATCGTCGCAGATGGCTTTCGCTCGACACCGCGTCTTCGGCTTGCTGGCCGGCTGTGCCGGCCAGCCTCAGCCGCGGCGCCTCGCTTCCAGCCACCTGCTCCTCAGCCCGCGGGCCGCCTCGCCCCTCCGTGGCTACGCGCTTCTAAATTACACTCTAGGGGTAGGGCAGACAAGACTACGTGGAGTCGGTTTTACGGCGATTCGTTTTTGTCACTAAAGTCATTTATAAGTCAAGCTAAAAAAGAACATACTTAAAGTTATATCTATCAGAAATTATATCAATTAAAGAGTATAACAAATAATATTTATTACTAGTAATGGTTATGTGAAATAATATTTATACTAAACAAAATTACATCAAATGAGTCTTAGATTAAGTAAGGTTTATATCAAATGTCTTTATGCGTTGTGATTGGTATCTGAAATGATATTATTAGAAATGATTTATTATATGAAGTAAACATTATATATATGTTAAAAAATTAAATCAAGTGTTGTTATAACATACGTTTATTATACAATATGAATGTTATTGAAATGAATTTATATCATATAAACTTATATAAACTGTCACGCACCCAGATTTTGCGACTGGCATCGAAGCAGCGGGGTTACTCTAAAAAACGTTATCCGAAGTTTCGAATGTTGCCATCCCTCTCACGCAAAGCGAGATTCCAACGTGAACGACTTCGTAAACAGCGTTTCGGAGTAGCCCTACAGCACCGCGATTTTGGGTCTTTATGCGTTCGGACGCGGTATCGGAATCGCGCGTTTTTGCAACTGCTGCCGCCGCGTCGAGCTTGCGAAAAGCGACTCAATCGCCGCGTGTGGCGTTTTTAAGTGTGCGGCTAAATCGCCGATCGCCGATGCTAAAAGTGGCGTGGCTCTTAGCATGTACAGTCAGCGTCAAATATCCGTGACAGCCAAAGAGGCCAAATAGTTGACAACGCAACTTTATTTCAATTGTTACTAAGACGCACGAACTTTTTGGCTACTTTGTGTGTTACGAACTATTTGACGCTGACTGTCTGTATTAACGCCCGAAGCTGTGATGTCACTGACTGTATGATGTGACCCAGTGCTCCATTTGAGATGTTGTGCGAAGGTTTATTGCATATAGAGATATCAATACTCGGGTTTATGTTATGACTCATAACTTACGATGTATGGTATAAATCAACTGTAGTTTTCTACCCTGTAGAAAAATAAATAAAATTATAATTGAGTAGTCGGCTAATGCTAATACAGGGTTAATTTATAATTTGTATATTTATACACTATTTTGCAACAATATACAGGGTGGAATTTTGTAATGCCACCTGGAGGGAAAGTACTCTTCATACTGCAGATAGAAAATTTTACTGAAAGAAAACATTTCTTTATTTTTGAAAAGAAAGAGAACTGCATTGATAGATTTTCGAAAATTTTTCAAAAATTATCTACCATACCATACAATTTTCTGTACACAATTAAAATAATTTAAGATTTAATGGATTTCCTTTCATTTGATTTATCAAGTTTGTTAGAGAGATTTCATCCTTATACTTGACCCTAACGATCGATGCAATAAAAATACGGGGTGTAATTTTTAACAGATTTTAGTTGGTTCGATTCCCGGGTGTGTCAAGCAAATTTTTGGAAATCTTTGAATGCAGTTCTATTTCCTTTCAAAAATAAAGGAATGTTTTCTTCCAGAATTTTTTTCTATCTACAATATTAAGAGTACTTTCCCTCCAGGTGGCATTACAAAATTCCACCCTGTATAATTATAAATTGTAATGTGACATGCAATAAACGTTTTGAATTTGAATGTATCTTACTTTTTGGCTCGGAACTCCGTAATATAATAATTATTTTTCTTTTTTTTGTCTGATTTTTTTTGATATCCAATAAAACTGGGAACCCGACTTCTTTATGTAGATTGTCTATACGAAGATCAAGTGAAACCGGGGCGGGCCGCTAGTTAAATTGATTTATTTTGACGGATCATATCACAGTTCCCGCGTTATAATATGTTTTTCCGAAGTGGTGGTAGAGCGAGCTATTTTGGGATATACAGGATGTCCTTAAAATCATATACTCGAAAAATATCAAAAGTCGGTGATTCGGGTAGCCCTAGTGATGCTCTACCTCTGATCTTCATCATGACACAATATTTTGGGACAGCCTGTATAAGTGCCCTGAAAAGGGCTTACATACTAATTAATAATTTGAACTTGAAAATATATTTATTTACGTGTGCTATTCTTTCTTTCCAGCCGCCTCAACCAGCAAGGCGCAGCTGGCTGCGGAATACCTGGAGTCGTGCCGGCGGCATGGCACGCCAGCCATCGATTCCGTGCTGCAGCAGATACGGGTAAGTTTATAGCTGGATACAAGCACCCACCAGTAGTTAGTTGACAATAAAGCCTGGTCCGTGAGCACGTAGAATCCCATCCAATGACCCCACACTACCCATCCCTATCGCTCGCGCGTAATTATGTTGCTGTCGCGCTCGCACACTCACTGCGGGCGCCCGTCGCACAGTCGCGACAGCAATATAATTACGCGCGAGCGATAAGGATGGGTAGCTTGGGGTCATTGGACAAAATTCTACGTGCTCACGGACCTGGCTTTAGTCGATCCTTATGTTCTTCTAATTTTTGTTGCGGGTCCAATGACAGTTTAGGTTTTCCCTGGGACAAACTTGACTTCACTGGTTGGGTTTTTACTGGCGGTCAGGCTGTAGATCCTGGCTACACTAGAGTTGCAGCGGTGGGAACGAGAGGTGGAAGGTGGAAATAGTCTCGTAAAAAAGTTTTTTTAATAAATATATAAATAAGTTATCTGTAACTAAAGCCTGGTCCGTGAGCACGTAGAATTTTGTCAAATGACCCCAAGCTACCCATCCTTATCGCTCGCGCGTAATTATATTCATGGACAATGGGTCATTGGACAAAATTCTACGTGCTCACAGACCAGACTATAGTATAGAATTGGGACCGGAAATAAAAACCTTACAAGTTGCTTCTTAACTTGACTATAATCTTGAAAGATCTTTGCAAAGAATTAACTAATATTCTGATGAGTAATAAAAACGCGATTCTCCCCTAGATTTTGTATTGCAGTAAAAGCCGATGACGGATTTGCCAGCTGCCCGTGAAAGTCACAAGAGGCGACTAAGAGAGTATCACGCGTTCCCAACTCATCTTACCAGCGTGGGATGTGTAGCACGAATCCTCAATTTGCCCCTGGTAAATTAGATAAGCTAGCCTCCTGCAGTGGAGACTAAATGCACTGAGTCTGATGATGAACGAAATAAAAATACCCTTATGTCCAAAGGGTACTACAAGGTTCGAGACTATATTGATGACAAGAATGCGTGGTCAGTTCAGTCTGCACATATTTGATGTACTTGAATTTGGTTATTCTTACCGTTAGTGGTGACTGAGTTTGTTCTGGCGTTTCTTCTCAGCACTTGTCATATGTTTGTCTCGAAGCGCTGGTAGGACCCAAAAGATAAGGAGACATGTAAAGTGCCCCATAAGTGCTACCTTTTCTTTTTTATTATCCCAACTATATATACAGTGTGTCCGGGCTTGTAGTGATCAAACTTTAAGGGCAAAATCTAGGGACAATTTTATCGATAAAAATACTTCAAATTTGGGGCCTGACCCATTTCTCGAAAAATTACAACGATTTAAGTTTTTAATTTTTAGTTTACACCTCTTCTTTAAAAAACTAGTGAAAGCGTGGGTAGCTTAACATTAATAGGCAAATATTTTATATCATGCGATAGCCAATAAAATTATCTATTAGTTGAAGAAGAAAGCAGACACAAGTTTCATACATTTTATAGGAGTAAGAATGGATTGAATTAGAAAAATACATTAGTTTTTTCACTTCTTTTTCAGTTATTTTCCAAAACAAGGAAAACCAGGTCGTTTAGGTATGTTTTATTTGCATTGTATTTTTAGTATTTGAGCTATTCTACAAAACGAATGTAAATTTATTAGTCTGCGTCTATTAGTTTCGACGTAATTGTTGAACAAAGATACCCCTTCCCAGCGGTTTCCATAGTAATCGGAATAGGTTGTGTGATTCTTTCAGGCAGTGCATTTTCGCATGTCGCGTGCGCTATGGAAACCGCTGGGAAGGGGTATCTTTGTTTAACGATTACGTCGAAACTAATAGACGTAGACTAATAAATTTACATTCGTTTTGTAGAATAGCTCAAATACTAATAATACAATGCAAATAAAACATACCTTAACGACCCGGTTTTTCTTGTGTTGGAAAATAACTGAAAAAGAAGTGAAAAAAGTAATGTATTTTTCTAATTCAATCCATTCCTACTCCCATAAAATGTATGAAATTTGTGTCTCTTTTCTTCTTCTACTAATAGATAATTTTATTGGCTATCGCATGATATAAAATATTTGCCTATTAATGTTTTAAGCTACCCACGCTTTCACTTGTTTTTTAAAGAAGAGGTGTAAACTAAAAATTAAAAACTTAAATCGATGTAATTTTTCGAGAAATGGGTCAAGCCCCAAATTTGAAGTATTTTCATCGATAAAATTGTTCATAGATTACGCCTTTAAAGTTTGATCACTACATGCCCGGACACACTGTATATATATACTCAAACTATCTCTATGCCAAATTTCATCAAAATCGGTTGCGAGGTTTAAGCGGGAAAGCGTAACAGACAGACAGACAGACTGTCTGTCTGTCTGTTACGCTTTCCCGCTGTTACGCTTTCCCGCTTAAACCTCGCAACCGATTTTGATGAAATTTGGCATAGAGATAGTTTGAGTCCCGGGAAAGAACATAGGATAGTTTTTATCCCGGTTTTTGAAACAGGGACGCGCGCGATAAAGTTTTTCTGTGACAGACAAAATTCCACGCGGGCGAAGCCGCGGGCGGAAAGCTAGTTTACTATATTTTGAAGTTCATAAGTGCCACTTGTGGTCTAAACTGAATAAATATATTTTGATTTTGAACCATTCTTTCCAGGAACTGCCCGAGACGGCGATCGGTGGAGCGACACGTGCGCCCCGCCTCACGCTGTCCGAATGTGTCCTGCAAGGCTCGGCGCCGGCGGACGCGTTGGAGGCTGTGCTGCGGAGGGTACAGTTCCGGCGGCTGGAGATACACCAGGCCGTGATCGATGATGAGGGAGCGGTGAGTCAGGAGAGTTCTAGAAGCAGCCAGAGTCCTAACTGCTAGATACTGCGATGGTGTGGTGCGATAGCTTCATGACTCGGCGAATGAATGAAAAAGTCGTCTAGATAGACCACGATGATCGACTAATAGGGAGCGGCTTCATATTGCAGCCAAAAATGTGGGGCGGTGAGAAGATGGCTCATTCAAAGAATGTAGGTTATTGTCGCAGCAAAGACTTAGCACTAAGTAGAAGACCACGTGATAGGTACGGCGATTAGAGAGTAGTCAGAAGATAGCTTAGTATACCAGCCAAAGAATGTAGCTTCTTGTCGCAGCCCAAAAATGAGGGAGCAGTGAGTGATAGGGCGATAGTAGATAGACCGTGTGATGATCGATCATAAGATAGTAGTGGCTTTGGATTTATATTAGCAGCCTTGTGTCGCCTCTGGGGCTTGTGCAGTGCAGCTAAAGACTTGACAATAGAAGACCATGCGGTTGGTACTACCAAGAACCACCACCACCACCACCACCATGGTTTAGCACCAGCTAAAGAAAAAGTGAGTATATGGCTTCGTATAACAGCCTTGTAGAGCCTCTGATGCTGGCGTGCGCCCCGCCTCACGGCGTATACAATAATTTCTCACTGTTATAGTGTCCCCTTTTGCCGAAAACCCTTCAAATTCCATATTTGTGTATTCCAGGAGGCGATATTCGACATGATCGAATACTACGAGAGCGCGATAGTGGTCAGCATTAACGGCGAGCGTCAGTTCGGCATTCGGGGGTGGCAGGCCGCTTCCAGGATGATCAAGAAGGTAATACATTCAAGACAATGACTGGCATTTAACTGCCTTCTGTGATTTAGTAGTAAGACCACCAGCTTCAGACGCAGAGGTCCCGGGTTCGATTCCCAGTGGGGGTAGATTTTTCTGTTCGGTTTGGTTGGTGGCAGGGCTTGTTCTAAGTCCGCCTGGCTAGCTACCACCATCTTAATCTAAGTCTGTCGCCATAACAACAATGTTAACAGCATTGTTGTGTTCCGGCAGTTAGAGGTAAGATAGCCAGTTCCTGTGTGGTTGAGGATTCCGGGTGAAGCTCGCTTCCACCTTCGGCCTCATCGTCACTTACCATCAGGTGAGATACAGGCCAAGAGCTTCCTCGTTGTGGATAAAAAAAAATAACGTCTTGCGGTTTGGATACTTAACACCTTAACCTTAACTTCCAACTCCTATGTTCTTCTGATTAATTTCGTTGCGGGTCCAATGACAGTTTAACTTTCCCCCGGGACAAACTTGACCTTCACTAGTTGGGTTATTGGCGGTCAAGCTGTAGATCCTGGCTACACAGGAGTTGTAGTTGTGGGAATAGTATCCCGTGAATTAACCACCACAGAGTCGATTTGTTGGCTGGTTATATTGGTAAGAGATCACCTGTCTCAGGTTACAGGTACCAGCAATTCGACCTACCCAGTAAGTTTCCTAGTAAATATCTGTACGTTTTGGTTGATGATGATGAGGCTTGTTTCATATCCATTTGGAGTGCTACTCTATCTAGGGAAATATCCAGAGATTTAACTCTCTCTAGTTTACCAGAGACATGATAAATGATGATTTATTTGCATTTGAAAAAGGCTACATTTAGGTTCTTTCGTTCGTTTCAGCCGAACTGCCGACTGCTGGACAAATGTCTCCCCCAAGGATTTCCACTAAGACCGGTTCTGACATTTAGGTTTTTATAGTTTAATTAAATTCAGCTTTTTCAGCCCATAAATACTATTGTTTCTTTATTCCAGAGCGCAGAGCTATCCGAGCTAGAAGTGTCCGATAGCGCGTTAGAAGCGGCGCACGCGCCGGTCCTAGCGCGCGCGCTTCGTCCGCTCACGTGCCGACTTCGCGCGTTGTGTCTGCAGCGGTGTTCATTGTGCGGAGAGCCGCTGCTGTGTCTAGGTAGGTCAAACCGGCCCTCCACAGGTCTCAGCGGCCCCCCATAGTTCTCAGTGGCCTCCCACAGTTGGACGCTCAGTGTCGACTACGCGCGTTATGTCTGCTGCGGTGTTCATTGTGCGGAGAGCCGCTGCTGTGTCTAGGTAGGTCCTAGCGGCCCTCCACAGGTCTCAGCGGCCCCCCACAGGTCTCAGTGGCCTCCCACAGTTGGACGCTCAGTGTCGACTACGCGCGTTATGTCTGCTGCGGTGTTCATTGTGCGGAGAGCCGCTGCTGTGTCTAGGTAGGTCCTAGCGGCCCTCCACAGGTCTCAGCGGCCCCCCACAGGTCTCAGTGGCCTCCCACAGTTGGACGCTCAGTGTCGACTACGCGCGTTATGTCTGCAGCGGTGCTCGCTGTGCTGAGAACCGCTGCTGTGTCTAGGTAGGTCAAACCGGCCCCCCGTAGGTTCCAGCGGCCCCCACAGGTCCCAGCGGCCCCCCATAGTTCTCAGTGGCCTCCCACAGTTGGACGCTCAGTGTCGACTACGCGCGTTATGTCTGCAGCGGTGTTCGCTGTGTGGCGAACCGCTGCTGTGTCTAGGTAGGTCCTAGCGGCCCTCCACAGGTCTCAGCGGCCCCCCATAGGTGCTAGCGCGTGCGCTCCGTCCGCTCACGTGCCGACTTCGCGCGTTGTGTCTGCAGCGGTGTTCATTGTGCGGAGAGCCGCTGCTGTGTCTAGGTAGGTCAAACCAGCCCCCTACAGGTCTCAGCGGCCCCCCATAGGTGCTAGCGCGTGCGCTCCGTCCGCTCACGTGCCGACTTCGCGCGTTGTGTCTGCAGCGGTGTTCATTGTGCGGAGAGCCGCTGCTGTGTCTAGGTAGGTCAAACCGGCCCTCCATAGGTCCCAGCGGCCCCCCATAGATTCTAGTAGCCCCCCATAGGTTCTAGCAGCCCCCCACAACTGGAAGCTCACGTGCCGACTGCGCGCGTTATGTCTACAGCGGTGCTCGCTGTGTGGAGAACCGCTGCTGTGTCTAGGTAGGTCAAACCGGCCCCCTACAGGTCCCAGCGGTCCCCCACAGGTCTCAGCGGCCCCCACAGGTCTCAGCGGCCCCCCATAGGTGCAAGCGCGTGCGCTTCTTCCGCTCACATGCCGACTTCGCGCGTTATATCTGCAGCGGTGTTCGCTGTGCGGAGAGCCGCTGTTGTGTCTCGGTAGGTCAAATCGGCCCCCCCATAGGTTCCAGCGGCCCCCCACAGGTCCCAGCGGCCCCCCATAGTTGTGGCCTCCCACAGTTGGACGCTCAGTGTCGACTACGCGCGTTATGTCTGCAGCGGTGCTCGTTGTCCTGAGAACCGCTGCTGTGTTTAGGTAGGTCAAATCGGCCCCCCACAGGTCTCAGCGGCCCCCCACAGGACGCAGCGACCCCCCACAGCTGGAGGATTACGTGCCGACTACGTTCTCTGTGTCTGCAGCGGTGCTCGCTGTGCGGTGAACCGCTGCTGTGTCTAGGTAGGTCAATCCGGCCCCCCATAGTTTCCAGCGGCCCCCCATAGTTTCTAGCATCCACCCACAGCTTTAAGCTCACGTGCCGACTTCGCGCGTTATGTCTACAGCGGTGCTCGCTGTGTGGAGAACCGCTGCTGTGTCTAGGTAGGTCAAACCGGCCCACAGCCGGCCGAAGAGAAAAAAAAACAGAAAACAACTATCATTAACAAACCCACAACTATCAATAATATCTTCACCACTATCAATAAGGTCGCCACAACTATAATTTACACCCCCACCACTATCATTAGATTAGATCCCCATAACTATCATTCAGACACCCTCAACTATTATTCAGACCCCTACAACTAACTATTATTCAAGATCCCTGATCAGAAGTGAGAAAACCCTTTACTAGGTCCTATGCGCCAAAGTTCAAAAGAAAAGGCCCATAACGTCAAGGAGTGCTTTAAAGTGTAGCACTTTGTGATGACTCGTGGAACTTCAGCGCACCATAACTTCGTAATTACTTGTTTGATGGTCAAATAAAAATATGTGTCCAATATTTTTCCAGTTTTTTTAAAGAAACAATCCTATTACAAGTCACTAATCAATATACTCTTGTTCCAGTGATAGCCCTCAAGTCGAACAGTTCAGTGCGAGAGTTGCGCCTCGGTGACAACCGCTTAGGACCGTCGGACGCCGCGCAAATCGCCGCGTTACTCCGGCTTAATGCCAGGATACAGCTGTTGGACCTATCTAATAACCAGATACAGGTACAATAGTGATGATAATACGTCTAGCGCTTATTACAGTCAGTGCCTGAGGTATGAGAGCCGCCCGGGAGGGGTGGCATTGACATATTGTGACATGACAAAGCATATAGCATAAAGAAATCTGAAATGCGGTGCTCTGATTTAGTAGATAAGGTATAATAATGGGCCCAATATGACTCCCAGGGACACTCCGCACTTATTTATACAAAGGCTAACCGAGAATAGTGAATATGCTACCTTGGGGTACTCCAGATTTAACCAGATACACTTGAAACAAACTATGGAATATAATTCCTCGGTGACAATTGTGCAAGACCGTCGGACGGCTTAATGCTAGGATACAGCTGTTGGACCTCTCCAATAACCAGATACAGGTACCATAATCCAAAGAACCTAAGAGCTTTATGCCCGTTTGCACCATCAATCCCTAATTTTTAAGTGACCCCTTTGAAAACAAAATTCCTGTTGTGTTACCATAAGGGTCATTAAAAAAATACGGATTGATGGTGATAACGGGCATTAACCTCAAAAACAAGTACATACACTAGCTAGGAATAATAATGGTGCCAGTATACTTCCCTGGGGTACTCCGAACTTTCGTAAACTAGGAAGGTAATGATCTCAGTACGCTGCCTTGGGGTATGCTGGATTTAGTAGACAATGTATAATAATAAAGAACAATAATGGTTTCAGTATGCAGCCTTGAGACACTGCAATATTGCATTTGTAAAGGTCCAATAGCGATTAAAAGTTATTATTAAACTAAGGGACGTGTTCTTCTGTGACCTAGGACCGTTGGACGCCTCGCAAATAACTGCTTTACTCTGGCTTAATGTTAAGATACAGCTGTGAATCAGATACAGGTATACTAGGAATAATCTTGGGGTTAGTATACCTCCCTGCCATCCGCTGAATTCAGATATGTCGACCAGAAACAGTAAAGGTGCCAAGACGCTGCCCTGTGGCATTCCGAATTTAGATAAAGTAATAAAAAAGTAAAGATCCAAATGCGCTGCCTTGGGGTGCTTTATTTATACGTGTCAACTAGTAACAACAATGGTCTCAGTATGCTACCCTCGGGAACTCCGAACTTTTACAGATTTTACAATATAAGACCGCATAAAATGCTAAGTTGTTGTGCTCCGAATTGAGATAGGCTATAAAACGCTGCCTTGAAGTACTCCGAATGATGATGACGATGATGTAACAATTTAAAACTGCTTTGCGCTGAAGTGAAGTGGAACTCGAGCCATCACTTCGAACTCCTCTTATGTTCTTCTGATTAATTTCGTTACGGGTCCATGACCGTTTAACTTTCCCCCGGGACAATCTTAACCTTCACTGGTTGTGTTATTGGCGGTCAAGCTGTAGATCCTGGCTACACAGGAGTTGTAGTGGGAACGAGAGGTGTGAATAGTCCTGTTATAACAAGTTAAATCATTTTTCAGGACACGGGTTTGGGCCACATAGCGGACGCTTTGGTTGAACAGGGCGCTCAAACTCCACCGTCGGCCGCCGCGTCACCCGCGTCACCAGTCTCACCTCACAGATGTCCGAGTAAGTTATCCTTATGTTAACTCATTAAGGTTAAAAATAGGTACATACTAGGTAAAAACTTAAGGCCCGGCTTCCACCAAGGCGGAGCAGAGAAGATTTTTGAATAATCAATCAGTTTCATTATTTGCACATTTCTATTCCGCTTCCCTACGGTGAAAATGGGTCCAGCGGAAAGTGTCGGGCGCACCTGTTTTTTATAGAATTTGACAGCAGCAGAAGAGAAGAAGAGTGGAGCGGTGCGGTGTTTCATAGATAGCAATAGACAGACAGCTACGCACAGCTCAGACATCTCCGCTCCGCTATTGTGGAAATACCTTGCCAGCTTCGCCGCACATCTTTCGTCTCTGCACCGCTCCGCCTTGGTGGAAATCAGGCCTAAGGATCTCCGCTAAAACTCGCTTTAGCGGAGATCCTTACGCCCGTTTTCACCATCAATCCCTAATTTTTAAGTAATCCCTAATGTTAAAAAAAGTCCTGTTATTTGTTACCATAGGGGTCACTTAAAAATTAGGGATTGATGGTGAAAACAGGCATTAGGCTCCTATTGTAACATTTAGCCTAGGCGTAGACCACCGATTTTTAGTTGGCCGATAGTTGGGTCGGGCTGTTAATCAGTATGGAGATGTATGAAAGTGCGCACATTACACCGATTTGATATCGGGCGATTCTTCATACAATTTAGGCCAACTAAACGTCGGTGGTCTGCGCCTATACTTATGATAAATATATTTATAAAAAAGCTGTCAACATTATGTTCCTATTGTGGACAATCAATAATATTATCCATATTATTTTGCAGTGACCGGCTACGAAGCGAGAGGTCTAGCATTCTTAGTGCTATGGAATAACCAGCTCACGAGAAATTGTGCGGCACACCTCAGTAAAGCATTGGTGAGACATTTTATACAATACTAGCGGCCGCCCGCGACTTCGTACGCGTGGACCTCGTTTTATTCCCGTTAGATTTATCATGTTGTTGATGGCGTTTCACGGCTTCCCCCGCATGAATATTTACGAATGTCAAAAACAGTAGTTTGTCCAGCGCTGTAGATTTTAAGCAATGACGATAGATGGCGCTTTTTAGACAGGTCTTATTCATTTATTAAAATTTTTTAGTCACATATCGTCATAAATTATAACCTACTAGCTGACCCGGCGAACTTCGTACCGCCTTAGCGTAGAGATTTTCTTTAAATTTTTTTCCGTAAAAACCTTGTACAGAGTATTAGAAAACTACAAAAAAATCAGCCAAATCGGTCAAGCCGTTTTCATGTTATGTCGTGACAACGGAAAACGGGTTTCATTTTCAACCGACTTCAAAAAAAGGAGGAGGTTCTCAATTCGACCCGTATGTTTTTTTTTTCTATGTTTGTTACGCGATAACTCCGTCAATTATGAACCGATTTGAACAAATCTTTTTTCGGCGTATAGGTAATAAGGGTGGTCCCATTTAAATTTAATAATGAAAAAATGCGATTGCGGTCAAATACCTGCCTTGGATANACGATAATTTTTTTTGTTGAATAGTTATTATCAAAAGGGTGGTTTCATGCGAATTTGAAGAAAATATTTCACCCCCAAGGGTGGAAAATTGGGGATGAACTTTTTTATACGCAATATCTCCGCCGATTATGAACCAATTTGAACGATTATTTTTTTGTTGAATAGGTATTATCAAAATTTTTAATTTTTAGTTTTTTTTTTGTGTTCACGCATTTGACGTCGGTTATATTTAAAAAAAAAGTTAATTATATATAACCAATATACTATAAATAATCTTTCTTTCTTCCAGCGCTCCTCGCAATCGCTGTGCGTGCTGAACATCGGCCGCAACGCAGTCGGCACGGAAGGCGTCCGAGCGCTGTGCGCGGGCGGCGCCCTAATCTCTGTAGGGCTGCAGGCCGCCCGGTTGGGGCCCGACGCCGCGCCCGCCGTCGCCGAGCTCATAGGACAGAACAACACGCTGCAGGTAAGAGAGAGAGAGAGATAGAATCAGAGAGAGATAGTAACTCCAGGCCTGTTCATCTCCCCAAGTATCCAAGTATCCTTAGATGGTTGGCAGTCCACAAGTACGTTTCTCTAGAAACTTCCTGCCCCGTACAACCAAACTGTGGAATGGACTGTCGTCTGCGGTGTTTCCGGACGGATACGACCTGCAAGCTTTCAAGAAGAGAGCGTATCTTCACCTTAAAGGCCGGCAATGCACCTGTAACGCCTCTAGGACTGCGGGTGTCTATGGGCGACGGTAATCACTTACCATCAGGTAATCCGTCTGCTCGTTTGCCTCCTGTCACATAAAAAAAAAAGTAGGCATCGATAACAAAACAAGCGGCATACGAAAGAGAGAGAGAGACAGTAAACACCAGGTCTGTTAATCTCCCCTAGTAGGCATTGAAAACAAAACACAAGCGGCGAACACGAAAGAGAGAGAGACAGTAAAACGCGCGGGGTTTAGTTCACAATGGATACACGAGCGAATAGTGAGTGACGCACGCGCGCGATTTCTTCACCCATTGTAAAAAATATACGTGTTGTGCGCTAGATGGCGACACAGTAGCTTATAGTAGCAGAAACACAACTCTCATTCAATTCGAGCGCTGTGCGCGGGCGGCGCGCTTATCTCTGTAGGGCTGCAGGCCGCCCGGTTGGGGCCCGACGCCGCGCCCGCCATCGCCGAGCTCATAGGGCAGAACAACACGCTGCAGGTAAGAGAGAGAGAGACAATGAAAGAGAGAGAGAGAGAGAGAGATAGTAACGCCAGGTCTGTTTATCTTCCCGAGTAGGCAACGCAAACAAAACACGAGCGACAAAAGCCGAGCTCATTGGGCAGAACAACACGCTGCAGGTAAGAGAGAGAGAGAGAGAGAGATAGAACGAGAGAGAGAGAGAGAGATAGAACGAGAGAGATAGAATGAGAAAGAGACTGTAACACCAGGCCTGATCATCTCCCCCAGTACTGCTGAATAGGCATCGAAAACAAAACACGAGCGGCGTACAAAAGAGAGAGACACCAGGCCTATTCATCATCATCACCATTCCCTGAGTGGGCATCGTACACAAGACAAGCTAAATTACACCATATTGTTGACGACACTGAGTAACTAAATACCTTCGCCAAGAAAACTCTGTACGTTGTACACATTATTATTATTCTTAATACACTCTCTCACTCACTTCGAGCGCTGTGCGCGGGCGGCGCGCTGATCTCTGTAGGGCTGCAGGCCGCCCGGTTGGGGCCCGACGCCGCGCCCGCCATCGCCGAGCTCATAGGACAGAATAATACGCTACAGGTACACACACAGAAAAGTAATTTGTACCTCATCTCTCAAATTTTTAGAATATTTGTACCTCATCTCTAGTTTTTAGAAAGTTTGTACCTCATCTCTAAATTTTTTAAAATATTTGTACCTCATCTCTCAAATTATTATAAAATTTGTACATCAACACGCTGCAGGTAAGAGAAAAAGAGAGAGAAAGAGTAACAGTAGGTCTGTTCATCTTCCCGAGTAGGCAACGCAAACGAAACACGAGCGACAAAAGCCGAGCTCATAGGGAGAATAACATGCAGGTAAGAGAGAGAGAAATAGAGAGAATCAGAGAGAGACTAACACCAGGCCTGTTCATATTCCCGAGTAGGCAACGCAAACAAAACACGAGCGGCGTATGAAAGAGAGAGAGAGTGAGAGAGAGATAGAGACAGTGAGAGAGAGAGAGAGACTGTAACACCAGGCCTGTTCATATTCCCGAGTAGGCAACGCAAACAAAACACGAGCGGCGTATGAAAGAGAGAGAGAGTGAGATAGAGATAGAGACAGTGAGAGAGAGAGAGAGAAAGAAAGAGAGGCAGTAACATCAGGCCTGTTCATCTTCCTGAGTAGGCATCGAAAACAAAACACGAGCGGCGTACGAAAGAGAGAGACACTAGGCCTATTCATCATCATCACCATCTCCCTGAGTGGGCATCGTACACAAGACAAGCTAAATTACACCATATTGTTGACGATATTGAGTAATTTTTTAAATACATTCGCCAAGAAAACTACGTAGTACTTACATAATTATTATTCTTAATACACTCTCTCGCTCGCTTCGAGCGCTGTGCGCGGGCGGCGCGCTGATCTCTGTAGGGCTGCAGGCCGCCCGGTTGGGGCCCGAGGCCGCGCCCGCCATCGCCGAGCTCATAGGACAGAACAACACGCTGCAGGTAAGAGAGAGAGAGATAGAACGAGAGAGAGAGAGAGAGAGAGATAGAACGAGAGAGAGAGAGATAGAACGAGAGAGAGAGATAGAACGAGAGAGAGAGAGAGATAGAACGAGAGAGAGAGAAAGATAGAACGAGAGAGAAAGAGAGAGAGAGAGATAGAACGAGAGAGATAGAATGAGAAAGAGACTGTAACACCAGGCCTGATCATCTCCCCGAGTAGGCATCGAAAACAAAACGCGAGTGGCGTACACGAAAGAGAAAGAGATAGACAACACCAGGGCTGTTTATCTCCCCTAGTACTACTGAATAGGCATCGAAAACAAAACACGAGCGGCGTACAAAAGAGAGAGACACCAGGCCTATTCATCATCATCACCATTTCCTTGAGTAGGCATCGAATACACAAGACAAGCTAAATTACACCATATTGTTGACGACACTGAGTCATTTTTTGAATACCTTCGCCAAGAAAACTACGTAGTACTTACATAATTATTATTCCTAACACACACAACTCTCACTCACTTCGAGCGCTGTGCGCGGGCGGCGCGCTGATCTCTGTAGGGCTGCAGGCCGCCCGGTTGGGGCCCGAGGCCGCGCCCGCCATCGCCGAGCTCATAGGACAGAACAACACGCTGCAGGTAAGAGAGAGAGAGAGTAACTCCAGGCCTGATCAGTGATCATCTCCCCAAGTAGGCATCAAAAACAAAACACGAGCGGCGTACGTAAGAGAGAGAGAGAGAGAGAGAGAGTGTGTGAGAGAGAGAGAGTAACACCAGGCCTGTTAATCTCCCCTAGTAGGCATTGAAAACAACACGAGGGCCGTACACGAAAGAGAGAGAGAGAGAGAGAGATAGATAGAATGAGAAAGAGACTGTAACACCAGGCCCGTTCATCTTCCCGAGTAGGCAACGCAAACAAAACACGAGCGACAAAAGCCGAGCTCATAGAGCAGAATAATACGCTGTAGGTAAGAGAGAGAGAGAGATAGAATGAGAGAGAGAGACAGTAACACCAGGCCTGATCATTTCCCCGAGTAGGCATCGAAAACAAAACGCGAGCGGCGTACACGAAAGAGAAAGAGATAGACAACACCAGGCCTGTTCATCTCCCCTAGTACTGCTGAATAGGCATCGAAAACAAAACACGAGCGGCGTACAAAAGAGAGAGACACCAGGCCTATTCATCATCATCACCATTCCCTGAGTGGGCATCGTACACAAGACAAGCTAAATTACACCATATTGTTGACGACACTGAGTCATTTTTTGAATACCTTCGCCAAGAAAACTGTACGTTGTACACATTATTATTCTTAATACACTCTCTCACTCACTTCGAGCGCTATGCGCGGGCGGCGCCCTGATCTCTGTAGGGCTGCAGGCCGCCCGGTTGGGGCCCGACGCCGCGCCCGCCATCGCCGAGCTCATAGGGCAGAATAATACGCTGCAGGTAAGAGAGAGAGAGAGAGAGAGACAGTAACACCAGGCCTGATCATCTCCCCGAGTAGGCAACGCAAACAAAACACGAGCGACAAAAGCCGAGCTCATAGGGCAGAACAACACGCTACACGAAAGAGAGAAAGAAAAAGATAGAGAGAGACTCTGAGCTCATAGGACAGAATAATACGCTGCAGGTACTATTCCCACCGCTGCAACTCCTGTGTAGCCAGGATCTACAGCTTGACCGCCAATAACCCAACTAAAGCCTGGTCCGTGAGCACGTAGAATTTTGTCCAATGACCTAGCTAGCCTAGCTACCCATCCTTATCGCGCACGTAATTATGTTGCTATCGCGCTCGCACACTCACTGCGGGCGCCCGTCGCACAGTCGCGACAGCAATATAATTACGCGCGAGCGATAAGGATGGGTAGCTTGGGGTCATTGGACAAAATTCTACGTGCTCACGGACCGGGCTTTAGTGATGGTCAAGGTCTGCGCTAGCCATCGCCGAGCTCATAGGGCAGAACAACACGCTGCAGGTAAGAGAGAGAGAGAGTGAGATAGAACGAGAGAGAGAGAGAGAGAGAGATAGAACGAGAGAGAGAGAGAGATAGAACGAGAGAGAGAGAGAGATAGAACGAGAGAGAGAGAGAGATAGAACGAGAGAGAGAGAAAGATAGAACGAGAGAGAACGAGAGAGAGATATATATAGAACGAGAGAGAGAGAGAGATAGAATGAGAAAGAGACTGTAACACCAGGCCTGATCATTTCCCCGAGTAGGCATCGAAAACAAAACACACAACACTCTCTCACTCGCTTCGAGCGCTGTGCGCGGGCGGCGCGCTGATCTCTGTAGGGCTGCAGGCCGCCCGGTTGGGGCCCGAGGCCGCGCCCGCCATCGCCGAGCTCATAGGACAGAATAATACGCTGCAGGTATACAATACACACACAGAAAAAAAATGTACCTCATCTCTCAAATTTTTAGAATATTTGTACCTCATCTATCAAATTTTTAGAATATTTATACCTCATCTCTCAAATTTTCAGAAAATTTGTACCTCATCTCTCAAACTTAGGAAATTAATTAGCCCTCATTTCAATTTTTTATAAAGTTTGTACCTCATCTCTCAAATTATTAGAAAAGGACATTGGGAACTTTAATATGAGAAAATGCCCCACGGCGGACAAAGATGAAACGTATTTTATTTCAAAGCTTGTACTTGTAGGTATATTCACTTAAAGCGCTATGTTGTGAGATAAGGGAATTCTGAGATATGACGAGTCTAAGTTGAAAATATATTTGTCTAAAATGATTATTTTTATATGAATATTTTT